TTAAGTAATAAACTGAAGAAACATATTTCCGTTTTCTAGAATATTAAAACCTCGGTTAACCCAGCGGCATTACAATTAGTACAACTTTAAGAAAGACTTAGCATTTTGTTTCTCAAAAGATCTTTGATATAGCACATGGATATAAAAATGTTCTTCTTTTACTCTTAACTAGATTTAAAAAAAATCTCTTCTTTCGCTTTTATTTGTCTCTATTTTAGTGGAGTGAACCAACTTCTGGTATACATTTCAAATTAATAGTATAGTCAGAAAAGAATATAAAATAATTTTACAGCTGTTGTTTTGTCTATACTTAAAATTATATTCTTTTGCCATTATAACATTTGTTTTATTTGATATTTCTATAGATAAGTTTTTAATATAATTTATCCAAAGGTAAAAATAAAAAGCATAGAATTTGAATCTAAATTAATAACTTAAAATTTTATTTTAAAATGAAAGTTATTGACTTATAAACCTTTTTGTATTGAACTACATAAAAAAGAAATTGCCAGATAAAAATACTTGATTGATCCAACTAACTGTATTGAACACGGATTTTGTTACATTTTCCTTACTTTGTGTCAAAACTCTTATCACGTAGTACGCTCCTTTTTAGATTTCACAAGCCATTCGGTACTACGTCAAATTTTGCAATCTACACGGTACAATGTGTGTGGTTTGAAATGTTTTCTTCTGGAAAAATGCGTATTATATAAAAACTTCTTTGTCATATTTATTGGAAAATAACTATTTATCTAGAAAGAGTGAGACAGAGAGAGAGAGAGAGAGAGAGAGGGAGAGCTTCTTTTTAATTAATGTATAATTAAAATTTCTTAATTAAATATACAACGTAGTAAAAGTTACGGGCACAGAGACATAACAAACTTTTAATGACTATACTAGCTAAAGTGGTAATAGAACACTACTTGATCACGGAGTTAGTCCGCAATGCAGACTAGATGCAAATCTGGGCCGTCGAAGTATTTATCTTTTAAAATTTCAACCTATTCGACAATAATATTTTTTTAGAGAAAACTGAGTAAAATTAATTCTCAAGCTCAATTTTCTTGAAATTTAATATGAACTTATGTACCAGTATTAAAATAATTGTAAATATAATTACCCTAACGCATTTAATTTTGTGATAATAAATCAATTAGTGCATAATTTATTTATTAAATTATTAAAAAACATTAATTAATTAATTAATCAAATAAGTAACTCAAAATTTTATGCTTATAATCATATCGTGTTAAATATTAATTAACATTTATTGAAAAATGAAATGTAAATGAACAAATATGATAATATTTTTTTCCACTTTTCAAGATATGAACCTAAAATATTACAAAATTGAAATGAATATTCAATAACTAATTAACCTACAGATACTTTTACTGTTGGTCAAGAAACCTTGAAAATTAACAATAGAGTATCTGATGTAATTTTTTCAAAGGAATATTAATGATTTGAAGCTTGTGAACATAAAAACTGACAACGATTGATTTATGAAATCATGATGATAATATATCTCTTTAAATATAATATTTTGGCCTTTTTGGTAAATAGTTATTTCTTTTCTTTCGATTTTATCCCTCAATTTTACATTTTAGCAAATTTTATTTATACTATGGTCTTATACTCATTGTAAGGGGCGACTAAATGGGCAGTAGTGCCCCTCTTAAAACATTAACAAATCTTAACTGCGGTTGCCAAGCGTGGCAACTATTGGTAAATCCACCTGGCATTTATGTTATGGAGGAGGTCTATGTTCAATGGACAGTTGACGGCTAATATAATAAATGGTCTTATACTACTTCTGTATGTTTTAAAGCTTGGGATAAGCAATAAATAAATTCTATTCAAGAAAACGTAGCCAGTCAAATTATTAATTCAATATGAAGCATGTCTGGCAGATCCAGCGTAGGTAATGGAAATTCAAGCATGGAATAAACTTATTTATTCATATTATTTATTACGTCTATATTGGCTTGGTAGTGGCTTATCCTAAACCTTTTATTGTGTAGCTATTTATTTTCTGTTATAAAATTTAGACATTTTGTGTTTACTTTTACGATTCAGATTACGTTTTTATTGTAATTGTTATTAATAATAATGTTTATTTATTTATCTCACAACTTTTTTGGGTACAATGAAACATTTAAAATAATACCATAGATACATCAAAGTTGTAGAGAACTGGTGCTTGAATTGGGTATCCAAAGAACCGGTATGGCATGGCATGAAACATTTTATGGTAATACATACAAACGGAGAACACAAAAGTTATTAGGCGTAGCAGATACAATACGAACACATGAAAATACATATACACACATAGTTATATAATATTTAAAAGTTTAAATAACAATCATTATAACTGTTATAATTATAGACATTTTATGTTTACTATTACGATTCAGATTATATTTTTATTATAATCGTTGTTATGTATAAATTGATTATTGTGTTTGAGAAATCTTTAATAAAATACGGAAGTTTGCCATTTTATTGCAATCAGACTATGTCTGTACATGGAAGATATTTGAGAAAATTTTATATAAGGGTTCTTAATAAGACTAACAGATCCCAAAACATGATTTTTTAGAAATTGTGTTTGTTTCTCCGTATTTATTTTGGTATCACAGAGAAACTACTACTCCGAATTGGATGTGGCTTTCACGTTTATGTCTCTAAAGATATAACTTAAAATCTGGTATATGTTTTATCTTGATACGTTATTCAGAAATGGCATATTTCATTAGTAGCGAACAAAAAACTACTTCATTATGAATAATAACTAATTCGTAATAGAACTAAACTTTTTTTTTTAATTATCAGAGATAACTTTAAAAAGTTCAGTTTATTTATAGATTATGTATTATAGACTGAATCGAGTAAATTTTGTATACAATTATAGAGCTACCTAAAAAGAGTTATATCATTATAAAATTACGTATTTTAATAAAATATCAAGTAGACAATTGAATCACTATAAACAGTAGGTAATAATTTATATAAATTTGTTGAAAAATTCTGGTTATCGGGATTATATGAGAAGTAGTTTTTCGTATACATATGAGTATAAATCAAAATATTAACTTAATAAGTCGAGTTAATATTTTTACTTCCTCTAAATACTTGGTAACCATCTTACAGTCTTAGTTTTAGTTTCTTATCAGTTAGATATTTCATCACAAGATGTTGATAAAACAGATTAGATATCATTTATCTTTAAATACCATGTTGGCATTTTATATGTTGATTATCTACCTACTTACATAGTCCAGTGGAAGAATATAGGTTATATCATACGGAATACTAATGATTATCCCAGCATAGACATAAAACGCAATGACCATCACAGTTCTTATTCTATTAATATTATAACTTACTTAACTGCCCCAGCTTCGCACGGGTATACTAATGGAGAAAATGAGGCCAAATTTTCCCTTCTGTTTATGCATATATTTATATATCACCTTTTATACGATTTTTCAAATATTTTCTTTAATACAAATAATGTGCTGATAATTACAATAAAAAAAAAAATGGCCAAAGCAGCTCTGATGTGTGCTTACATATATTAGGCAGTTTTTATTTATGTACATGGGAAAGTTTATAAAGATATTTCGATGTTTGAATGAAAAGAATGTTTCACTATTTCAGTTTGGTGTAACTTTTATATCCAACTTTGTACAGAGATAAATTAATCCATCAAAGTTTAGTATGAAACAGTTGTTTAGTTGTTACATAAACTAAACTAGAGGCATATCAAATACATTTAATATAGTTTTATTAAATTTATCACGCGACAATACGAGTATATTGCTTCAGTTATGTAAGTCAGTCTAAAAGTCAAGGGTTTGTTACCAGGTCACATGTGAACTACCTACAAAGGGTATTTTTGGAGTCGCAAGCTTTGTCCGTTTATATATTACCATGGTAACAAGTATGGTTGTATATGTTCATAGATTATCTATAATACCTGTGACTCTTTCTATGTAAAAACTCTATAGAGTTATAGGTTACACAAGTCAGACTGACAAAAAAAACATAGATGGATTAAGCAACCAGAAAAACAACAAAATAATAATAGTAAATGCCACACAATTTCAATATAAATCTAAGTATATGTTATTGAATTAATTATTAGTACAAACTAATAAAGGCCACACAATCCTAACATAAATCTAATTAATTATTGTTGAAATAATTATTAATTTTTCTGTTATTATTTATTTAATTTATTCTTATCTAAATGACTCATTAAATATTATTTATTATTAAAATATTAAACTTTGACTTATATTGTATACAATAGCTACATGAATCCACAGCATTGTCGAACTGTTTGAACGAGATAAAAGTACTTTATGTACTTTTCCATACTAAATATATTATTACGTTTGTGCCGTTTGTACATTCACATTTTGAACCGTCTTCAAGAAGAAGGTGCTTCTCAATTCGGTTGTATATATATAAGTTTGTTACCTCATAACTCCGTTAGTTGTGAACCGATTTGGGAAACTCTTTTTTATTCGAATGGGTATAGAAATTTTATTAATATCTATTTAGCAGCTTAGTTTTAAATCAAAGTAAGGGGTTTTACTACAATTAAAGTAGGTTTTTTTTTAAAACACTAGTTATTAAGAGTGGATAATATATAGCATCTATATATTTTAGCTACATAATCTATATACTGGTTGAAAAACGAATATAAACGAATATATTCGGAAATAGATATCCAATTGATACAGGTGATATCGAAATTGGTGATGAACTTTCTTCCGCCATCAATATCCAGAAGAACCTAATATATAAATATCGGATCGGTATTAATAATATAATACATATGTATTAAGTAAGGATACCTACATGCCACTGTTACGGTACGAAAATAACATATCGTCATTCATAATTCATTACTGTACTTCATTGTACAATGCATTCTATGTTTGTAAACATTATGTAATTGTATTGTATGTCTATTGTTACAGCGACCAGTGGCTCTGGAAGTGGGCCGGGCGGGGGCGACTCGCGGCGGAGCGGTGACGTCACGCCGCACGCGCAACCCCAACGGAGACTTATTAAAGTCGACTTTGACAACCTTGAAGTGAGTTCAATTTTGAGTTACCATTTAATTAATTATAAATTAATTATTTTAATTAGTTTCTCCTCACAATTTGAACCGCGCGGAGTTATATCAGTTTTCGTGGAAATTTCCATAAATAGCTATATTCTTATATAGGCAGTTACAGCTGTTTATTGATTAGCCAGTTTATAATTGTAGATATAAAGTATGTTAATTAATGTGACCCATTTCTTAAAAATTGTCTTAGTATTCATTAATAATTTATTTTTTTAATCAAAATAACTGATAATGCAACAACTTAAGTCGGTTTTTTCTTGTGGAACATAATCTTAATTATTTAATAGAAATTTCTAGAAAGTCTTTAGTCTAATGGTAGATTTAGATTAAGAGTAAAAATAACAACAAGAATAAATGTAGTGCTGAAAGAAATAATGCCGCACATTATAACAATTTTGACTATTATTATAATAGGTATTCTTGAAATACTATTAACCATCCCTTAGGTAATTCTTTTTTAATCAACTATAAAGTCTCATCATCATCATCGTTATATCAGCCGTTATAGTGTTTCCTACTGAAGAAAAATTAGTAAAGAAAGAACGACGATTTCCTTTCTCGATCTAAATATTACAGATAGACAGCTATTAGTAAAAAAAAAATTTTTTACATTAAATGTCGACTTAAAATAGAGCGTAGTATTATTTTGCGTAAACAATTTCATAAGCTACTGAATTATTTTTTTTTTCTTTAATAAAAGTAACCGTTATCGAGATTTACGTGGAAAATCGTTTATCGTGACATTTGACCCCGTGTAACGCTCAAGCGGTTCATGTACCGATGGGAACTATCGGTAGTTCGTTCAGATCAGAACCATGAAAGGAGGGTTTCTGCAAAAATCGTGCAAATTTTTCCAAATACCGTAAAAATTTGGTCACGTTAAAGTTTTTTTTTTATAAATATCTTGGTAGTGATTTAAAAAAAATGCAATGATAGTATCTTATGAAATAATTACACAAAAGTGTGGCAGGCCTTTGTTTTTTATTTATTCCCTGAATTATTTATTAGTAGGCGTGCTAGAGACTGCGTCCGCGTGACCGGGTCATATTGATAGACTATGGTATAAACCCTTCTTTATACCAAATAATATTTATTTATTTATTTAAACTTTAATGCACAGTAAATTTCTATATACATTTGGTGAAATTAACACCGGACGGTGTTCTCTACCAGTCAACCATTGGGTAAACGGAGAAATACGTAGGCGGTGCATTTTAATATATGTATAAAAAAACCATTAAGACACCAAGAAGTAAACAGACTCATTTTCACATACATTATTAGTACATCTTTAGACTTTATAATATTCCTCAAAATACATATATTTTATTCCATTGTCCTCATTAAAATGTTTTTATTTCTACTCGCGACCGACTTCGAAACTTCATTTTTAGATGTATTTATAAAAATGTAGTAATTAAATGTCCTCGTTACTTAGTTCGCGTTGATCAGGATTTATTAAATGACAGGAATAAAAGGTAAAAATTTCAATGTGATTGGTTGAGCTGTTGAGGCACCAAGAAGTAACAAAAACACTCACATTCACGTGTAAGGAAATAGAATTATAGAGAATTTACATTGGGAACCATAAATGTAGAACTATTTATACAAAGAGACGATGTAAAATTAAGGTGTAAAATAGACAAACTTGGTTTGACAGTTGGGCTGATTTTAATGCGCAATTAATTTTAAATAATTTCGCAAAATTACTGTTTTACAAACCATAAGTTAAATTTATAGTAATTCAGACTTAAATGTATTAGAAACATAGTTAATATTGGTCCTTAGAATCAAATTGAAATTTCGAATTTTGTTATTTTTTTATAAACACCGGAGCAAACGAGTATGCGACTCACTTGATAGATTTAGAGAAATAACGCCGCAGTATCGACCCCATTGTTTCACAAAATAAAGCGACATCTATCAACTTTGAAGTATGCTCTGTTTATTTCAATTTTCGTAGATTGTACTACTTAATTTGACATGCCCCGACGAAGTACCGAATTTCTTTACACTTTCGTAATCTAAGTACGACACGTAGGCGGCAAAAAATAAATTAGTTCCGACTTGACGTAAATAAATATTCTCAGTGTCAATGACTTGTTATTACGTTTTTGTTATTATAAAATTAGTTTTTATCGAATGCTAATTGGGAGGTGTACTTGGATTTTTTTTAATGGAATATAATGGAGTGGTAGCTCTGCCTGCGCTAATGATATACGCTGGCGGGGCACTAGTGACGGATGATAGGTAAAAACGAAAAGGCAGATCAGTTAGCTCATTGAGACGAGTACTCCTAAAATTCAGCACGATAGTTTCCGGGGCGGGACCAAGTGGGTATTTGGATTATTAGAAATACTATTAATTAATTTTCTTTTCTGGATGAATATTCATTATTTATTTATCATTCGAAGCAGTAAGTATCTGTTGGGGTCATTGATTTTGATACCATCTTTATACGCTCGGATAATAACTAAAAAAATGTTCAAAACACAGATGCAGCATATATTTTTCGACGCATTGTCAAATAATTTAATATAATTTAAAAAGAATAAGGGGAATAAAACAATAATATGATAAATGTAAAAGAAACCAAAGTGTGCCTGTTTTTAAAGATACACGATTTTACTACAAAGCCTGTTTGACCTAGCTGTTATTGAAGCTAAAGCTGGGTTAAGCTTGCCTCATTTTTCTAAAATATCAGACAGGGATTTAAATTTAATACAGATATAAACTGAATATTAATTGTGGATATCTTCTTGTACAGGGTTGACATTTATATATATAAAAGCCTTTTATATAAATATTTTTGCACATGCATATTTTAGTAAATATTTATATTTATGGGAATATAACGAAAGCTGAACTGAATTTCAAATACATTTTAAAAATAAAATAGAAATATTATCAAAGGGATTATGACTAAATAATCCGGTCCTGAGCAATCTGCATCCCTTGACTCCAACGAATTTTAATGGGGTTCTTTAACCAATTTTAAAGTTTGGGTATTTTTCATTAGACAAAGAGAAAAAGAGAATTCGTGTAGGCTTCATATGAATATTGTCATAGTTAAAACTGCTGTTTATTTGTAAACATTTTTTTTTTATAATAATGACCTATTTAAAAAGTCTGTATTGTGCAAAATGGATATGAGAACCATAAAATAGCCCTGTGGTACCATTATTCGGGTTTTGTACACAGTCCGCTTTGTGCTAGCCTTGCTCGACGACAATAGATATCTTGAAACCCCAGTCCGTGTGCTCTTGGCGATTAAAAGCTTTGAAATCTAGCGGTTTAGCTCGGGATTTCTGGGTCTTTACATTTAACCTGCTATGAAAATGGGCTTAATTTTTTAGAAAATGCTACAATTTATTAATTAGTTTAAAATAGAGGTTATCAATTCTTAAACTTGTATATATTTTTTTTATATGTAATTTTATTTGGGTTAACATAATTTTCAAAATGTAAGTGTGACCCAGTCGTATGCTCAGTTGTAGATGATTAGATAAATAAGCTGATAATAAGAAGCTGTCAATCTGTATTTTTTACATGTTTTGTATTATGTCAAAGCCATTAGCGAGCTATTAGAAATAATCGTTGATACTACACATGGAAAGCGATTTAGAATCGAAAAATTGGATTTGTGTATTTGTACATTTAGTTATAAGGAAAGAATTATGCTACGTAATACCATTATTATTGAAAATTACCGAATGGTGGCACAATGACTGCAAATTGTTAATTGATAGGTAATCATCCTGCGGATTCCCACGTCTGCACTGCGCAGTTGTCAGCTCTAATTATGATTCCTCACGCAACCACAAGTACTTACAAGAAATATAGTACATTTACAGTTCATAAGATCCGACACTAATTCCTAACGGTACCTACGTAAACATCCTTCGGTGGAAAACAGTTACACTTGTACAAATAATTGCTAAGGCTCTGACTTGGTTTGGCTTGCGACCTTGTGACCCATGAAATGAAAACTAAATTTGAAATTGTTTAAAATTGTAATTTAAAATAGAATTGTAATTGTAAAATAACTAGCGATCTGTCCCAGCTTCACACGTGTAGATAGAGACGAAGATAAATTTGTATTTTATTATTAAAAATTTGATGTCTTGGTTTACATTATTATACGAGTATATTTCGTATGGATTTTTAGTTATCTGTAGTTTATGTACTCACTGATGATGTAGCTTTATATACGTGAAAGAATTTTTAAAGTCGGCTGAGTAGTTTTTGAATTTATATATTACAAACAAACAAACAATTAAATCTTTCCTCTTTTTAATGTTAGTATAGATAAATTAACTAAGTAGTGTGTAATAAATATACCAATAACGGTTAGTGGAGAATAATTATGTAGAAAATATGTAGTTATCTCAGTGGGCAACTTAAATAGGCATATTTTTTATGAACAGAGATAGAAATCACTAGGAAATATAGGAATAAAAAGAAAAGCTGTTAGGTATTGCTGTGCTGACCACAAATTTTTGATAATGGGTTGTTTTTCCCATATACACGTACACAGTAATGACATAAGAATATGGTAATAACACGCAATTAATTGTTTTAAAAGTCCAAAACTTTTGCATGTCGTTTATTCAATTCCAAACGAATCTCTTTAGTTATTACATTGAAAAATGGACCTACCCTTAGAGTTTTAATTATTTCAACACTTGTAGGAAACTAGTTCCTAATGACATACTACATAAAGTTTATTTTAATAGGCTTTTACTTGTTTCCTACTTGTTTACTTTCCGTTTTCCCATTAGTAGGACATCACGCGAGAATGAACGCCTTTTTATAGGGCTGTCATTCAGAATAACAAATTATAACATGATTATAAGCAATATGAAAATTTAAAAAGTTAGTTAAAAAAACACTTATTCGACAAGCATAACTGATATTATAAATGTAAAGTGTGTTTGTTACCTTATAGCGTCTTACGACTTAAC